AATGAACTATTATGATGTATAATCTGGGATTCATCTTTTCTTAACTCTTGCTTAAGATTGTTCCAGATAAAGGTCGTGCAACGGATGGGTTTTGAAGGAGGCCTGAACATCCTCTATCACATGTTTCTTCCAATTCTTTGTTTTAACATATGTGCTGAGGTTTAAAGTAAGATCCTTTTGTTTCCCTTTCCCTTTAGTTAAACCTCAGCTGGTGTAATTAGGGACATCCCCTTTTCTTCAATAAATAGCAAGGAGAAAGCTGAAGACTGCAGAGTGGGGTGGAGATTGTAAACTCTACAGTCTCCTTCCTACTCTCCTCGCGAGTTACTAAATGAATTGTCTCTGTGCTTTCTTTCTTTCCCTGTATGTATGTATGATGTTTTAGGTGCTTAGACCTGACACTCTCCAAAGATAGCAAGTTTGCTAATTCAACTTACGTGCTCTCGGAAAATGAAGGCAAGGATGGCAGCAGCCAGCTCTGCTAAGAAGATCAGCAGGATGAGCATGAAGAACTAACAAATGAACAAAGGAGAGGGGAATCGTGTGAAAATTACAAATTGTGTCAGTCAGGGAAAAAAAAAATGCACATCAGGTTTTTGAAACAAAAACAAAATATCACTCCCTGTGCCCTCTAATGTCAGCATTAAAACTGCAGGATTCCTGAAGTGTTAAGGGAAACTGAAGGGCATTTTTCCTTTTCTGCATATTTAAAACTCTCAAAACTAATAAAATAAAACATAAGTTAAGAAAAAAGAACATAAGCAAAAATGTCTATGGACTCACAAAAAGGAGAAGACACTTGTTCTCACGAATGGCTCCACAGCAGCCCAGGAAGCCCAGGAGGAAGAGCATCCCTCCCATGCCCAGGATGATGTAGACTCCAGTGAACAGCAAAGGGTTAGCGGCTACGATTTCTCTGAATCCTGTGGGGTCAACTAGCACCCACACCCCCACTCCTAGGAGGAAGGAGCCTCCCAGCTGAAGGAATAAAAAAAAAGGCCACTAAATAAAGACATAAAATATTGGATCAATGATATCTATTCCATGCTGTACCAAGCAAAGCTTTAAAAAGGTGGATCCAAAATGACTGAAAGGATCATAGAACAACCCAGCGACATTGCTGCACACTGCCAGCCAGCTGACTGAAAATGCAACTATGCATTTTCCTTGCTTCAAAGTAAGGAACTGGCTGTAGAAGAAGGTTTACAGTCACATTAAGCACAGATAGTAACAGCATGGAAACTGATGGAGCATATCTGATTACTCAGGTAACAGGAGTTAGAGATTCATTGGTTAGTTCATTCACTGGAGTTGTGAGCCTGGATCTAATCAGCTACTACCTCCGTTTCTATATAATGGGAAAAATGAATAATATTCTCTATTATAGGCTTGTTTACTTGAATAATAACAACTCACCAAACGTTTATTTAAATCTTCTTAATACCACACATCAAGAGTAAAGTTACAGGAAAAAAAGGTTGATAACAAATATAAAGATGTTTTTTTTTGCAGCAGGATTAATTCTTCTGTTTTGTTTCAAACCAATTGCCTCATTTACTTTTTTTTAAATATTGCTGCTAATATGGTATCACTGTAAAATTGTGGTATCTTTATTCATTCATACATATACTTCAAGGAAAGGTCCGGTCATATTCAGAATTCAAACTTCTGAAAGTACTTTAAATAT